ACTCCAATGTAACAATAAAGATTCAGACAGGGAGTTTTGTCCTTGATAGTATCCAGAGTGTAGTCAGCTGCAGGTATTTCATGGGGAGGGGTGGGGGGGAGTATTTTTCTAAAATACTAATTTAAAGAACAAATCAACATCTATTATCTCCTTCATTATGTTTTAAATTGTACGACTATAAATCACCCTGCAGCGGGTTATTCAAGGGCAGAATTACCAGGCTTGGCTTTCCCGAAGGTTAGAAGAACGACACCGTGTGCTTTTTCTAGCTATAATTTATAACTTTGCAACAGAACCAGCATCGCAGGCCCATCCATTAGCAGGGTAGCTGCGCATCTGTTAAAACTCAGCACAATGACTGGCTTTGCGCGGCCCCAGGAAACGTAACCCAATCGTTTCAGAAGTTCGACAAACTTGAGCCGTTGTTATTTTTTTTTTAATGTGAAACGATTTGAAAACGCGGTTCCCTAAAACATCTGCTAAGCTCTTGCTACCCTAACACATGATACTCTTTCTACCGTTACCTGCCATGGCAAACATCTGGTTGCACAAAACACGCTAAGAGGCACGTGAGGGGGCTCAGCTTCAAATTTACATACTGATAGCAAAAGGCTGGCGTGGACCTAGGAACTTGAGCTAAGACGTTGTTTACCAGCACTTCAAGCGTATGCGGGGGAGAAAACGGGGAGAGGGTTCATGTCATGAAGGTGCTTTCGAACATTTTAAAAAGGAGACACAACCACAGGACTGGATCAATGTGGCAGCAGCGGTGGTATATTTGACAAAGAAAATGAACTTGGACAAGTAGCTGGCAGAGGGTCTGCCAGCTGATATTTCATTTTCTTGAACAAGTTGGCTAAGTTCCCTATGCGTTTTAACTGCAAAATAAGGGGAGTGATTCTAACGTCAAACTGCTGTAAGCAATAAATGAAGACATATATGCTGATACGTAAAGCACCACAATGCCTGGCCTTACCTGCCAAGCTGCATCTTACTTGGGGGTATGGCAACAATAGCAAATAGACAGACCCACCTTTAAAAATCTCACAGATCACCAGATAACACAATATGCCTGATTTTGTGAAATAAGCCCCAGAGGGTAATACGTATGTATGAATACGTTACATACACTAACATACAACATATATTAGTGCATCAATATGCAAAATGTAATTTTAGAGTATTTAAATAAAAAGCAAGCTAGAGAGATGGGAAAATAAGCAAATGACACACATAAGATGGATGTCACTTCATAACTAGAAAGCTTCCAGCAAAGTTTAGTTTTTCCTTGAAGATGTTGCACAAGCAGCTAAGGAACCCTGCATCATTTTTAAAACAATACTTAAGACAATCCTATTCCCATTTTTATCTATTACTTTAATTTTATTATAAATTGGAGGGAAGAGGGAAAAACGCTTTTCCCTCCGAAACCCCCATATACCTGTCCTGACCTCTGTACCACAAGAGGAAGAAGTGTCAGAGACACGGCTCCACCAGTAGGGGTCACTGTGCTGAGAATTAATCCCTAAGAGTTTCTCATTAGTGATTATTATACTGCAGGCGGGCAAAATGGAAAAATTAATTAATTTCAAAGTGATAATGCATTTACAGCAACAATTAGAAATGTATAACTGTAAAAGGGCAACATTTAAAAGACAGATTACATTTAATAAAGTTGCACAAGAATATCCAATTGTAAAATTACTGATCTGCCACAATATTCCTTAAAGAGGCACTTAAAATAGCCTGACTCCACGAAGGGTGACCTAATTACGGTAACTAAAATCACCGCAGTCACAGCAAGTCACAGCAAATAAAAAAGGGACATTTATATTAGAATACTGCTGTTTAATACCTCAGGGAGCCGGCTACAGTGGAGAAGGCAGGCAGGGCTCCCGGGCACAAGGCTGGCTGTGTTTCTAGTTTCCTTGACCTTGCGCGATGGAATGCACACTCCAGCAGCCCTCAAGTCAAAAGGAAAATGCTTTGTCTGAAGTGCAAGGCAGAAAGGGCAAAGATGAAGCACAAACAGAACACTAGCCATTGGGAGATGGGAACCCTGAATCTATGCTCAGGTTCTCCATGAGCATTTAGGATCCAACTCCTACCCGGGGTGGGAATGGGGATGCAACCACATGGCTGAGGTCCAAAAACATGTTTGCATTAAAATGGCAGAAGTGCGCCCTTCATCCACAAAACAACGTCTTGTCGCGATGGAAGCAATGCCAAGCCCTGTATGGAAGGACAGAACATGAGGCTGGATCTGTAGTTCAGTCTGTCCTACCAGTGAAACAGTAGATCCCAGGTCTATACTGGTACAGAGTTCTGTCCCACATACAGAGTTCTACATTTTCGTCAAAGAGAAGTGACTGGCCGTGCGTTTGACAAGTCCAGGGCTCCCGTTCCATCTCTTTACGAACCTCAGTCGTACGGAACTCTGGGGTCTAAGAAACCCCACCAAATACCTAAATGTATAAAGATACGACAGACCGTGAATCCATTACTGTCAATCCTCATGCCAACCTTTATCACCATTTTGGTTACGAGGGAACAAGCTCAGAAGGGTCAAGTGTCTTGCCCAAGCTCTCCCAACTCCAAGGGTAAGAGCTGGGGCTTGACCATCAGGATCCTAAGCAAGAGAGTCAGTAGGTCCACTGTCTCAGGCAGCAGCCTTCTCACACTTGCCACCACCAGGAAGTCATGTCAAATCCCTTTTCTAACACAGGCTAAGGGTTTACGTCCCCTGCCCTTTTATGGAACACTCCACCACTGCCAATACAACTTAACCAAATCTGGGGGGTCTTTTGGTGACGTCTCCACTTTTCTCTAAACCTTCTCAAGGGTTATCTGCTCATTTTCCCAAACCCCCCTCTCACCCAGGGCCACAGCCAGCAGGTCTTGTTTTATATGTTGCCCACGACTGCTCCCAGCGGGCACTTTCCCGCTGCGAGCACTGGGGACCAGGCTGGGGGGTGGCCGAAGCCTCTGTACACCGGCTGGTGAAGGAGGAGGAAAGAGCCACTGAGGCTGGGCATTGGGCACCACTGAGACCAGATCCCGGTGTGGTGCACATTCAGTGGGGAGCTTCTCCTAACTTCCTGCGCTGCCCAGCTGTATGGTGACACTCCTGTCTCAGTTTCCAACTCCACGCTCTTGTCTTCCCGTTGGCTTGAGTCCCGACTATAGTTACCAGCCAAACAGCAATATTCTGTGATCCCAACGCAGTTGCCTGCCTGACATAATTTGCTGGCGCTTTCAGAAATCCTCGTTACGTCCAAGGAGCAGACAATCCAGCCTGACTCGGCTAAACACGTTTATGTGCTGTGTTCATGTTAACTATTAGACAATGATCCCCTCCCCAAGAAACAACCATTCACTCCACCTTTTACTTTCCCAGAACTAGTCTTCTTCTTCCTTCCCACCTGCCCTTGTGCAGGGTTTTTAAGCCCTGTGGTCCCATCGCAGAGTAAGAGTGGCTACCATTTTCTATCAACAAGCCCTCATCCACTGGAGACCACACCCAATGGGGACATGGTTTCACCACCCGCCATCACAGTCCTTGTAGTCACAGCCCCGCGATGATTGGGCTGTTGGTCTTGAAGGTACAGGGCCAGCAGAAAATGAGAAAGGATGCTGTCCACTCCTCACCCCCTGCATAAACTTGAACAACTCATCCATGGTACTGTCAATGGCACTGACACCAGTCCAGGCCCATATTCTCCCTTATCATCTCTACTGAAGGACCTAACTTAAGACAACGAGCGGAAATCATGGTCAAAGATGTCCTCGTGGAGAACCTACTCTCACGCAATCATGGACAGCCTGCCGATGGGGAAGCTTCAGAATCCTGGGACACACACGCTTTCTCGTTTTCCACCGGCCTTGGCCTTGGAGAACTGCTCTCCAGAGACTCTCCCACTTCTGTTCTTTAAGTATTCACCTCTTGGATTAAGTCTATTTGCTTTGCATAACAACCATCTGGTTGATGAAGATTAAAAAAGCACGCACTTACTTTCTCCTAGGCAGGTCAAAAGATTTTCCTTGCAGTTTTAAAAGCCATCCACAAACATGAAGCTCAATGAGGGTGGGTGGGAAGGGCTGCAGGAGAAGGCAGCAGACTGTATTCAGAGGCTATGGGATCATTTGCCCAGAACATCAGAGGTCAATGACTTGACTTTTGTTACTCCTAAAAGCCAAGGTGTTTCTGAGGATTACATGGTAGGTTTGCTTAACTGGAACACTGGTGTCCACTAAATAGGAAAACATTTTTTAAAGGCCTGTGTTTTAGAAAAGTACCATAAACCAAATATGTTGTATAAAAATGTGCATTCTTCATTCTAATGACTTCCTCCTCAAACTTCTTTCAGGGAAGAAGTCTCCAGATACAGTTGTTACAGGACCATCAAAAACAGCAAGAACTTCACACTTACCTTTGCGAACATGTCCAAATCTAACCACAGTCGTGTGATTCACCCAAAAGGACTTACCTTTGGGGAAGTAAAGAATAAAGTGCACCTGTAGCCCAACAAAAGGATTCTCCAGGAAAGGTTTACACCCATTAAAAGAAGAATTTAGAACAACAGATACAGATTCTCAATGGAAACAAAGGAATCACATCTGCTAATAATTCAAAAGGCATGAATCCATGTCATTCACCTACTAACACAAAACACAGTTTTGAAGGACTGTGCTTACTGAACCAAAACAAAATCACATCGAAAGCAAACAGATCATCTCCATGAAGACGTTCAGCCACATATTAACACAATACTGAAAGAGCGCATCTTCTCTCTGGCCCTCCAAGACACCTCTAGAGAAACAGGTGCAATCCAAAGCCCACTGAAATGTGTCCAAGAGTCCTAAAGCCTGATGCTGTGATGATCAAAACCAGACTCATCCTCACAAGAGGTGAGAGGCGCAGAAAGCACGTGTGCCTGGGTTTCTCTAGGACCCTTTCCGTAAAGGCGCACTGGAGGTGTCTGCGGCGGCAGTTCACTTACCATGGACTTAGTGAAGGGTCTGGCCAAGGTGAAGAGCAGCGTGTACACCCACCAGCCTCGATGCAGGGAGGAGTACATCATGTTCCCGGGGTGCACCGCGTTCGACGTGACCCCACGCGGGGACAGGCGGCGGTGGAGTTCGCTGGAGAAGAGGATGTTACAGAGTTTGGACCGGTTGTAAGCCAGCATGGCCCAGTAGTCATTTTTCGATGGAGAAAGGCGGCTGAAGTCTAGTTTTCCAGAGGAATCATTAATATCTGTAAATCTTAAACAAACAAACCAACAAAAAGATATGAAACGGCCAGTCTCTGACTTCTTATATAGCGTTGTGTTTTTATTAGAAATCTGAGAAAAACTATGCAGAGATGATTGAAAACTCAATTGGGCAAACATCGAAACAAAGTCTCCTTAAAAATAGACAATGGGGATTTCACAATATAAACCATCGGGGTCCAAAGGCACACTTAATAAAGGCCCAAACTCATAAATGCAGCGGTCTTCACATGCTGAAGTCCCACTCCACCACCCCTGCCTCTAACATATATTTTTCAAAACCTTCAACAGGAAGTTCAAGGATAATTAAATTAAATGGAAAAACATCTTAAATAAAGGGCTGCTGCTTTTGGAAGCAGAAAGATATCGCATTCCTAACCTTTGACAGGGCTTCCCTGGGTTATTTTAGCCAATGCTTGCGTCCTGTATTATTTTCATTTGAGCATCCAAGTAAATATAGATGAGCCTTGCTGCCTCCAAGACTCTTTTGCAGATTAAAAATTAATGATTATAAAGGGGTTATAACCTTGGTGAGGTGCCACCAATAGTCTTCAACGTTTAAAAGATAAACGTAAACAAAGCCAAAAGAAGTTCTGGCAGAGTCGACCGTTTTTAAGTATATCCATGCCATGGACACACACAAATCAAAGCAAGTAGTTGATGTTTTATAATTGGGTCTGACGGAGTCGTTAAACACCAGCTGTTTGTTTCTTTCCTTTCTTTCTTTCTTTTTTTTTTAAAAAATAACAACAAAGTAGTGACTTCCCTAAAAAGCAAAAAAAAAAAAAAAAAAAAGATCATAACAGAAGGGATTTTCTAGACGACAGTCTCATCTTCATTAAGGACCCCTTGGAGTCTGCTTCATTAACTCTGGGCATTTGCCCCGAGTAATAAGGGAGCACAACAAGGGCACTGGAGACAACCACTGTGGAAAAGGAAAGCAAAAGGTAAAACGAAAATGATGGAATAATCTGGTTGTTGCTTAAAGGAGCAGTTCAGATGGAGCTATGACCAAGAAGAGAATCCCAGGGGCAGACGGAATTCATGTCTTAATGGAAATTAAATACCCCTTCTCCAGGACTCAGTCAGTGACATCCCATTTCCGGTGTTAAATCACCTTGCCGAGCCGAAGTCATCAACAAAGAGACGCTGGCGTGGATAAGGCAGTGAGACTCCGAAAGGAATCACCGCTGCCTGTTTCCAAGTCCCCAGACCACAGGAAGAGCCCAGACTTCCGAGCTTAATCCTCTGAGGCAGTGAAACTTAGCGGGAAATTTGAAAATTTATGGGAGCCTTTTTCTGGTTGTCATAACGACTGCCGGCGGGGGCCGCGGACAGGAGATGTCCTGCCACGCACTCGGAGCCTTGCTCAAGGAAGATGGCCCCACTGGACATTCAGGCAGATGAAAGCCTGTGTGTAATTATCTGAGCCTAGAGCCGAGCTGTGCTTTACACAGATGCACAGTTGTAACAGCCGCTGAATTTCCAGGAGCAGCATGCCACAACCATGTAAATGAGGAATGAGCGCGCTTTGGAATTTTATGGGATTGGGTGGCGGGGAGGTGAGGCTTGACCTGAGGCTGGTGGCATTTGAGGCTGCAATGGCGCACACCAGTTAACAATCCACGTGTGCGAGGATCCCAACGGAGGGCTGGGCTCTCTGATAACTTACCTTCCCTGAAGTCCCGCCCAAGCACTGACATGCTGGAACACATGCTCTTTTGCTTCACATTCACTTTTTTCCTTACATTACATACAGGTAAGCTAGTGCACTGAATTATAACATAGGTATGCAGGGAAGTTATATTATTCATATTTCTTAATTTTATTTCAAAACAGTAATAAGGTGTTACAGAAGAGTTGTCACCAAAAAAAATAAGGACTGTTGAGTTGAGGATGCCATGATCTAAGGTATGGCCCAGAAGTTCTACCTGCTCTGAGTAGAAAAGAGCATCCAGGATTTAGACAGCATCTAACAGGTACGGGACGAAGGTAGCATCCTTCACTCACTCTTCTTTCCGCTTTCATCGGCTTTCTTGGCATCCTTTGTTTAGCCCAATCCAGCTCAGGTGTCACTTCTTCCAGGAAGCTCTCCCTAACTAACTCTTCCACTGCTTGCTGTCACGGTGATTTCTAGGGTGGCAGTGAGGGACAGACTGAAAGAAGCCACGCAAGGTAGATGGAAATTAAGTATCCACTTTCTGGGACCTGGTCCACGCTCTTCCTGTTGTTCAAGGACCTGCCACCCTGCAATGTCAGCAACAAAGCAAATCAGGCCACGTCTGTACCTTGTGCCTCTGTCCTTCCACACAGACGGCAAGTCATTGGCTCATTTGCTTCCAGCCCTAGACTGTGAGTTCTCGGGAGGTGAGCTCCTTGAATGTTGCCTATGACACACAGTAGGGCCTAAATACGGGATTAGAGAACTGAAGTTCGATCGCGGGTTTGGAATTCCAAACTAAGAGCCAAGTTTCCTTTATTACAAAAAGCTTTGTTTTGAGCTTTGCTCAAAAGGAAAATCTTCCCATTCTGTTCAGAGGCTTTATGTCCTTCATGAACACCTGCATGCAGCACTTTCTAATGTTTAGAAGGATTTCCCTGCTTTGGCTTTTAAGGACAATGCAGAAGTATCTCATGCCCTGGGGAACACTGGGTAGACTCAACCGCTAAGAGAAGGTATTCATTCCTAGTCCCCAACCTAGAAACAAGGCGAAAACAACAACAAAATCCACCGTGATGAGAAATGAGATGGAACCAGGTTGAAAGCAGGTTTCGAGATGGAGAAACAGCTACTAAACAGGAGGCCCGCCCTCTGCAAACAGCCCTCCCCCATAAGTGGACCCCTGAGTTCCTGACCTGCTGAGCTCCTGAGCGGCACACTCATTTTTAAGGCCTGATTAGCTGGTATTGACAGTCCTCCAGGGAGGAGAGAGGGTGGGCGAGCTTTCCGATTCCTCTGAGCCGGGGCCCGCTTCCTGAAAAATGACCGCGTTCACCTCTCACAGCTCAAGAGGCAGCAAAACAAATCTACAAAAGCTGCCTACCCTGTTTTCAAGTTGAAAAATTGACAAAGCTAAACAATAACGTCTTAATAGAGTTATCCTCCTACCAGGACACTCGAATGTTAGCATTTGCTCTCTGGACGTTAACATCTGCTGTTTGAGAGGACCTCTATCTTGTATTTCTCTATATACTGCTCCTTTATTTTTTTCTTTTAAACTGAGGATTTTTAAATAACCCAACTAAAATAATTAGGCTGGATTCTATGTAGACAAAAGCTAGTATGTTCAAAGAATAGGACTGAATTTGCATCAGAGGCTGCGTGTGTGTGTGTGTATGTGTGTGTGTGCCAACTTGGCACTCAACACAGCTGCAGCCATTTACAGCCCTTCAGCCAGCACTCCACTCTTTTCATTCCATTTTAATTGTTATCTGAAAAATTTTTTCACAGCAAGGAAGTTCTCATTTTCATATGATGGATTTCAATTCACTTGCTCCGGTTCCAGATAAGTAACTAAAATACAGGGAAGACTCGGGGAGGCTAATAAATATTTTGCCTTGGGGCAGTCTGCTATAATATTTTCTGCAAACATCGGACTTCATTTTTCCCCTAACAGGGGGTCCTGACTCCAACGAAGAGATTCCGCCAAGGTTTATGGAGGTAATTAGATATCAACCCTTCCGTTTTACGACATGGTTTAGGGCTCTGGGTCCTTGAGCAGCAAGTGAGTGCTCTCCCAGGACTGCCCGCCCAGTATTCACACGGGCTCTGGGGTGCAACACAAGTGTAATAAACAAACCAGCTTGGGAGAATTAACATTTTGTACAAACACCCTTTAATGCGGGCAAGAGGTCATCGGGAAGTAGAAAACCAGTGCCTGTCGCCAGACAGGAGCGGGCCTGATAACACACACTTCAGGAAGACCTGGTCTGGAAACTACAATGGATCGAATTCAAGAGACCAGGGCCCTGCCTTCCGATCCATCTTTTAAATGAAATCAAGATTCAGATCTCCAAGGTAAGTGCGAATTACACTGCAGTTAAGGAGAGAACAAAGACGTCCCATGAAATACTTATTTGAGATCCAGATTTACAAAGGGAAGGAAGCAGCTGACAATTCCACAGAATCTCCCATTAAATACCAGCTCATTTAAACGTATCCCGTGGTGCCCTCCACATCTGGCAAACGACTGGGGCTGGCAGATTTATTTCCGGAGCTCTGTCCCCATCGCCCCTGCAGTAGCCTCCCTCATGCCTGAACAAGGCCACTCCACTTTCAGGAACCCGGTGTGATTTGCAAAGATAAGGATGTCCCGATTTTGTTACCACCTAATTACGAGATGTTTCATGTCTTTTAACGCAGGGGAGGATTATTACCGGCATTTTCCTTTCATTTCGGCCGTCATAAATTTCAAATGGTAAAAGTAAATCTATCTGCAGTGTGTCATTTCAACCATAAGCCCCTGTGTTTGGGAGTGATAAAGGGTTCAGACTAACCCTTGGCTGGTCTCTCTCTTCCAAGTCCCAGGGGTTACATTTTATGGAAGCACGATTTAAAAAAATAAGCTTCATTCTGGGTCACTAAAACATTTCAGGACTTAAGACGAAGAAGAGGGAGAAAAAAAACAGGCCCTTGCACATTATTTTTCTCCAGCTACTTTGGTAGGAGTGAAAGCTCCCAACCACACCAGGAAAATCTCCCTAACATGTATTAAATCTAGCCTCACCCGGCAAGTCCTTTATCTTCTCAGGGTACTTCTCTTTAGACAAAGTTGTTTATCCAGCTCTAGAAACAAAACATGCTGAAAATACGAGGAAATTTTCAACTGTCGTCTTCGTCGATTGAATATTCTCCTAATGGTAACAGAAAAGCAGCGCCATCTGATGTTTTAATTGAAATTTTGACCAAAAGAGTCGTGGCCAGATTTCTAATATGTTCTAACTACAGTACTTCCCTTTCTACAATTACACAGCTAGTGTCTGCATTGAATTCCCTAATTTCTCATTATAAAACAACTGGATTTCATCTTGCAGTTTTTAATTGCATTGTTTCTCCTGCTAGCATAACTGCACATTCTTCTTCGTGAGATGGTGAAGTTGGTGAATGACAAATCAATACAGGTCAGGAGTTCAGATTTAATCAATTATTATTCCATCTCAAAGCAATATCAATGAGGGACCTGAAGTATAGTTATAAAAACTATCTACCTTGCTGTCGACACTACCCCCAAATAATCACCCACCATCACGGGCACACACACAAAAAAAGACCTCGATAAATTCAGTAAGCCAGGTTGAGTACACACTTTCTGGAGCAGGACTAATGAAAATTATTTGCAAAAAGAGAGGCTGGGGGGACCATCAGCTGGTGTGAGGAAGCTGGTCACGTGAACAGAACGTCCAATTCTAACCCACCTATGGGACTCCGAGGAAACCACGACGACCCGGGCAGGGGCTGAGCGGCACAAGACGTCCTGGAGGAGCTGGACGAGGTAGAAGTGGCCCAGATGGTTCACCTGGAAGGTGGTCTCCAGGCCATCTTTCGTGAGGCTCCAGGGGAGAGCGAACACGGCTGCATTGCACACAAGCACGTGAAGTGACCTGAAAGAAAACATCCCACGTTGTACAGACAGAAACGCTCTAAAACCAAGGAGGATCCATGCTCCCCCCGGAATAACCAATTCTTCACTATCTTCAGGACTACAGACAGCTGGAAATGGGATGCCCTAGAAGGTCGCATCTGAGACCATTCTGCTCAGGAAGGGCTTGGATTCTAAGTGAGCAATTGTGCTGAGTTGCTGGGGACGAGGGGGTTCCTGGGATGCGGGACTTTCAGTGCCAAAACCGGGACCATACTGGGCAAACTGGGATGAGTTGGTCACCCAGGTTGGAACACAGGTTCTACCGCCTAGTTGAATCTGTGCTTCCTTAGCTCATTCAGTTCTCAGCTTCGTTATCTATAAAATCGAAACAGCCCTTAAAGTAAGACATAAGGAATAAAGGAGAAAGTGTGCTGTGAAAAAGCCAACACCAGAACCAGCACTTACTAGGTATTAAGTAAAACATATCAAGGTGGAAATGCTCTGACTAAAGAGATAGGCACAAACTGTTTGGATACATTCCTTTTAGAAGTCAAGTTAAATCTACATTTTAGAAGTCAGCTTGGGGAGAGTTAAGTGGAGGTCTGTCATATTTTCTCTTTGTTTGCACATATTTAATTTCATAATAAAAAATTTAAAAATAAAAGCCTTTCATGTGAATCAAAATCCTAAATCCTAATCAAGAAATTGTATTTGGAAGAAATCATCCTAAGGTACTAACGAGAACTGTATAAAGAAATATATTCAAGGCTATCCACAGTGTTTGTAATTGCAACATAACAGCAACACATTAGAAGTAAATTAAATGTACAACTGGGGAATCATTAAATGAATTGGAATATATGCATATGATAGAATACTATGCAGCCATTAAAATAACAAATCTATTGACTCTGTAAAGCATTCGTGTTTAAAAACAATATATAATATTGTATGATCACACACACACACACACACACATACACACACAATGCTAATGAAACATAGACAAAAATGTTAACAGTCATTGTCTCTAGGGGTGGATGGAACCCAAAGTGTCTTAAATTGTTTTCTTTCTGAGTTTATTCGTATTTATTTTTTCCATAATTAACATGTGCTGTCTTTATAATAAGAAAAAAATGCCATAAATAAATGCTTTGTAGGAAGAAAAAAAAGCGTTCCGGGGATTTAGTTAACACATGAAACGAGAGAAAAAGACACAGGGTACAGTTTTACGGGACCACTGATTTAAGAGATAAAAGTTCAGTGTTTTGTCCCAGATTCAAGCAAATCACCAAATCCTCTGAGTTTCTGATTCTTGCTTGTAAAATAAGGGGCTGGAAACCGATGGTGTTCAGATTCCACACCAATGGCATGGAATATGTGATATAGGAAATGAAATATTTCCTATCTTTCATTTTAAAAAACTTAGTGTTCTTTTCATAGAGACTTCTCATAGACCTATTACTATTGCAGCAATCTGATTTTGTTCCATCCTTATGGAAAACTGTAGGTGAAGAATCTTGAGTTTTTAGAAAACAAATACTGGTGTGCAATAAAGAAAAGCCTATCTAAAAACTAAAATAATCTGTTATCTAAATAAAGTTTAAAAAAAGGCAAAAATTTGCAATCGTATAAAGAATCCATATTTTCACTATGTAAACAGTGTTTACAAATCAACAAGAAAAACATATTCTGAGTCTAACAGAAATACTGACAATGATATTTTTTAAATTCATAAAACTTGATTATAAAATAACCAGCACAGAGGTAATGTGTTCAACTCCACCAGTAGCAAAAGTTAAAATGAGATATTTTCTGCCTATTAAATTAGCAAGTTATTTATATTATCATATGTTTATTACCTTGTATAAAGCTGGTAAGACTATATATTCCTACCCCATGGATAGTAAGTTGAAAACATTTATCATGAGAATTAGAAATATCCACATTATTTCACCTGGTAATCCTGTTTCCAAGTAGTGGGTTACACAGGGGGCGGTGCAAAGGGCAGCAGCTCATACCTCTAGGGAGGAATAGTTTATCACTGATAATGTTCAGAACTGCCACTGCATGATGACTGGTTTTTTTTTTAATAAATTGGTTTTTTTTTAAATAAATTCATTTATTTATTTATTTTTGGCTGCATTGGGTCATCGTTGCTGCACACTGGCTCTCTCCAGTTGCAGCAAGTGGGGACCACCCCTCACTGCGATGCACAGGCCTCTCATTGCGGGGGCTTCTCCTGCCGCGGGGCACGGGCTCTACGTGCGCAGGCCTCAGTAGCTGTGGCACGTGGGCTCAGTAGCTGTGGCTCGCAGCCTCCAGAGCACAGGCTCAGCACTTGTGGCGCACGGGCCCAGCTGCTCCGCGGCATATGGGATCCTCCCGGAGCAGGGCTCGAACCCGTGCCTCCTGCACTGGCAGGCGGATTTTCAACCACTGTGCCAGCAGGGAAGTCCTTATTATTGGTTTTGAATTTTCTACAAACAATGCTCCCCCATTTTGCCCGTGCCTGGGGCAGACTATCCCTACAGCCACCTGCTACCCCCTTGATATGCCACTGCTTCTGTAGGGGATTAAATGGTGAACCCAAAAAATAGGTCCACTAGGAACCTGTGAATGGGACCTTATTTGTTAAAAGCGTCTTTACAAATGTAATTAAGTTCAGGACCTTGAGAGGAGATCACGCTGGATTAAGGTAGAACTAAATCCAATTGACAAGTGTCCTTACAAAAGAAGAGAAGGGCAGAAGACACACAGAGAAGGCACTGTGAAGGCAGAGGCAGAGGCAGAGCCTGGAGAGGTGCATCTACAAACCAAGGGCTGTCAGAGTGCCCGCCTGCACCAGAAGCTAGTGAAGGGCGCCGAATGGACCCCTCCTCAGAAGGCACCAACCCTGCAGACGCCTTGATTTCAGACTTCTGGCCTCCAGAACTGTGACAGGCTGAATTTCTGTTGTTGTAAGCCACCAAATATGTGGTAATTTGTTACAGCAGCCCTAGCAAATTGATACAGTTTCCAAGATTCATTCCCACAGAGATCCTCAAAATTTACATAAAAGCTTATGCATAAGAATGAGTAATAATGATATATAAATGAGGTAGAATTATAAAATTGTATATGAACTAGAAGCAACTTAAAATCCAACAGAAGATAAATCAGCAAGGATTAAGTCAGAGGTTCCCCAATTTCTCAAATCAATTGAAAAAAGAGGAAATTAAGTGTTATGTGTGCGATTCATATCCCTTCCCAGCCACCACCCCCCCCCCATGAAAAAGACTTTTATATGTACAGTCAGCAAGACAGGAAATACAGAAAAATGTTAGCTCTGGATGTGCAGGATATCACTAGGTTGCTTAGTTCTTTTTTTTTTTTTTTACTGTTTTTGTTATTTTCCAAATTTTCTATGTAAGCATGGATTTCTTAAAAAATTACTCAGATGTAATTCACAAAGCATACAATTTACGCTTTTGAAAGTGTGCACTTCGCTGGTTTTTAATATGTTCACAATTATACAAGCATCATCACATTTTAATTTTACAACATTTTCATATCCCCCAAAACAAGCCCTGTATCCATTAATAGTCACTAACCACTCCCATCCGCCAGACACCATTAATCCGCTTTCTATTTTCTAGATCTGCCTATTCTGGATATGTCATATAAATGGAATCACACAACATGTGGTCTTCTCGTGAACAACTTTTCTCACTACACTTAACGTTTCCAAGGTTCATCCATGTTGCAGCACGTATCAGTACTTTGTTGCTTTCTGTGGCCAAAAGCTATTCCACTGCATGGATACGTCACATTTCATTTAACCATTTGCCAGCTGATGGACATTTCGTCTTTTTCCCACTTTTCGGCTATTAGAAATATTGCTGCAATGAATAGTCACTTACAAGTTATTATGGAGACATATGTTTTGATTTCTCTTGAGTATACAAGGAGAAGTGGAATTGCTGGGTCGTATGGTTAATTCTATGCTTAACGTTTTGAGGGACTGCCAGACGGTTTTCCAAAGTGTGGCTGTACCATTTTACATTTCTACCAGCAATGTATTATGATCCCAATTTCTCCACATTCTTGCCAGTATTTGTCATTAAATCTGTCTTGGGTTGTTTGTTTGTCTGTTTAATTGTATCCACCTTAGTGAGTATGAAGTGGCGCCTCATTGTGATTTTGATGTGCATTTCCCTAATGACTAATGATGTTGAGCATTAGTATTTATTGGCAATTTATGTATTTATTGGCAATTTGTATCTTTTCTTTGGAGAAACATCTACTGTCTGTTCAGATGCTGAGCCAATTTTTAAGTGAGGTAATTATCTTCTTATTATTGAATTATAAAAGTTCTTTATATATTTTGGATACAAGTCTGTTGTCAGATATACAATTTGCACCATCTCCCTCATTCTATAGATTGTCTTTTCACTTTCCTGACGGTAACATTTGCAACACAAAAGTGTTAAATTGTGATGAACTATAATTTATATATATATATATTTTTTTCCTTTGTCACTTGTGCTTGTATCTAAGAAAGCACTATCTAACCCAACATCGCAAAGATATATTCCTATCTTGCTTCTAAGTGGTTTATAGTTTTAGCTCTTACATTTAGGTCTAGGATCTATCTTGAGCTAATTCCTATGTATGGCGAACACAAGACATCTAAGTTCATTCTTTGGCATGTGGACATCCAATTGTTTTAGCATCATTTGTTGAAAAGACTGTTCTTTCCCCCAGTGAACTGTCTTGGCATTCTTGCTGAAAATCAACTGACCACCTGTAAGAGTTTATTTTTGGACTGTCGATTCTATTCTATTATCTACATGACTATGCTTATGCTATGACCACACAGTCTTCATTACTGAAGCTTTATAGTCAATTTTGAAATCGGGAAATGGGAGCCCTCAACTTTGTTCTCTTTGCGTCTATTGACATGATCCTTTTTTCCACTGATATGGTATATTACACTGATTAACATTCAAATGTTAAGCCAACCTTGAATTCTTTATA